GAGACTGGCGAGTTAGTGTCAGGATCATCCGCCTCAACGGTCTTTGCACGTTCAGCCACCGTGTGGGCCTATTAGGCCACATGCTCATTCATGAAAACTTGTGGTAAACAACCGCCGACTACACTACATCATCACATCTTCCCCATCAGCACTTGCATAATAGAACATAAACCATGGAAAGGACTCAGTTCCCACCTCCCATGCAAGTGGGATGTGTACTTATCGGCTCCTCTGCTGCATGTGTGATCCGAGCCTGAGACTTTCACGGTGCGCCAATCGTCGTGCCTTGGAAGTCTGCCGACTGGTGCCTCAACTCAGTCCATGAAGTCCTCCCAGTTGTGTGTGTTTGTATGGAGTGGCGAACTGATGGACTGAGAGTCAGGCTGTCACAGCTTCCTCTGGCACCCTCACACATACAGTGCGTGACCTATCTCATGAAATGTTGGCTGAAATTCTGAAATGCGTTTTCGATTAGGAAGGATTACTTGGTCGCGGTTGTCAAACTGATTATCTTAAGGCATACTTTTATAACATTTTGGACTTGGCAGAATGTCGGCTTTTAAATGCACTTCTTTTCAATCTCCTGTAGAAAGCGTGCTCGGTAAAAAATGACTACTTAAGTAGCATGCATTTTTCCCATTGATTTCGATGATCTTGGAAATTCAAAAATATTTTATAGAAACCACAAACAAAAATATGCTTTCTTTTAGCCAATCAATAGAGAATCACGTCTTCTTTATATTTTATACTTAAGGAAGGAGTATAATTAGGTTTTAAAAAAGTTTCTAATTATGAGACTTTTTAAGACCGCGATATGTCCATTCACATAGCATCGTACCTGGCCGTTTACCACTGCTCCTCATGAAGTGTACAGCATGGTCCGCATCCATTGCAAAATTTTATGGACCCTGTATGATATCTCTTTAATGACATAGAAAAATATGGGATTTTCTTTACGCGGAACGCATGCACCTTGTAGAGTGTAATCACTAAGCGCTAATGCAACGAATGATCAGGCTCCAAATTTTTCGGCAATTAGAAAACTTTTTTAAAACCTAATTATACTCCTTCCTTAAGTATAAAATATAAAGAAGACGTGATTCTCTATTGATTGAGTAAAAGAAAGCCGATTTTTGTCTGTGGTTTCTATAAAATATATTTGAATTTCCAAGACCATCAAAAATCAATGGGAAAAATGCATGCTACTTAAGTAGTCATTTTTTACCGAGTACGCTTTCTACAGGAGATTGAAAAGAAGTGCATTTAAGAGCCGACATCCTGCCGAGTCCAAAATGTTATAAGAGTATGCCTTAAGCTAATCAGTATCACAACCGCTACCAAGTAATCCTTCCTAATCGAAAACGCATTTCAGAATTTCAGCCAACATTTCATGAGATAGGTCACGCACTGTATGAGGTGTGTGTTTTATGAGTAGTGCCTCTCAGTCGATGGCTGACTGGTTATCCGGCCTTTGAAGTGTAATGACTCAAGCTAAGTGCAGGGTCGAATTTCACCCTGTAGGCGTCTGCCGTGCCAGTATCGGCAAACCATGGCCCTCGCAGCCTGTTGTGCGCTGTTACTTATCTGGCACCTGGTTCCCTGCCGGTAGATGTCCTTGAGCTCCCGTTGGGCATACAGTTCGTGTACACAGTTACCCAGTCATCCTCATCTGCCTGACCTGTTGTGTTGCTGTTGCTACTGGTCAAAATCCCGGTCAGGTGTTTGTTGTGTTGTTGTTTGTTGTGCTGGTACGCCAAGGTGCGGGTCCGCCCGTGCCAGCCACCTGAGCCCTCTCCCGTCTCCGGTCTTTTCGACTTTGTCTTCATACCGGTTCCATAGGAGGAGAAAAAGCGGTAGGTGTTGCACAAGTCTACTCTCGCCATTAACTAGTTCACACATAAGTCACCGTGCCTGTCCCGCTTTGCTGTAAGGCACACGGTGGACATCGTCGATGCAACGGTCGAACTGTTATCCAACTAACAGAAGATGTACAAGACCGCACGATCTCTCCCTCTGACTTACACAGAAGACAGCATCTTAGTCTGCTGTCTCAACTCAGCAACCACGACATCAAAGTCTTCCATGTAGGCTACGCAGAACCAGTACCTATGCACATTTTCTGCTTCGGAGAAAACGCAAACTTCTTTATGTTCTCCTTTACATACTGAAAACGGCACCGAAGGTCAGGCTGGTGAACTAACTAGATTAGTAATTACTATCTACAGTCAGCTTTTTGGCGTCCCACGCTCAAAGGGACGATTTGCTGTTTTACAAAAGACGCGAGGACTGACTAAGAAACCGTGGAAGGTATCTATGCCATGCTATGCATGCATGTGTTTGAGGCCTACGAGCGGGGCCCTTCATGACCCTATTTATGTAGAGTTGAGATTATACAGGATCACCATAAAATATGGTCATTGTTAAAGTTTTACGGAAATTTTTGACATCTAGAGTGCAATAATGCATTGCATATAAAAAGAAATCAGAAGGTAAATTTTATGGCTGGCCGTAGGTAGTCCTGCAGTGAGAATCCTCGGATATCAAAAATCAAACAATCGAACTGCCTTTCGAATACAATCATAGTATCAGATGTGCTTACTTCACTTGAGAGTGAATTCCATGGTCGCACTGCCCACTGACTGCAAGAAAACTTCCGTCGGTCTGGGCGTGTGCACCCGCCTTTGAACTTATACGAATGACCGTACAATTGACTCTTGTTTGTAAATATATAGCTAGGAGGTCTGCTCACGCCGAGGGTTACAGTATGAGGCTATTTCCCGGTGTAGCATAACTATGCTGTTACACAGTCCTGTTCCAGAAATCTGGCTGTCGACAGCAGCTTCAGAGCTGCCGGTAGCCGAGGTCACAGCCTAGGCGGTTGATTATTTCCAACGTCAGGGTCAGATCACCGTCTTCTTAATCGGTACCAGAGAAAACTGACCTAGAACAGATCGCAGTACATAGTCAAGAGACAAGAATTGCTCTTCAACTTTTGTGACAGGCCCCTACTTCCGTTCAAAATGTGCATTTCCGTCCTCTGCAGTAGTTTCGTGCCGACACTGCGTACACAAGATGAGGCCGTCTGAAGTCACGAAAAGCTTTGTTGTAAATGATTAGCTCCAGCATGGTGCTGCAAAGTTAGGGCATTAAACTGTGTTACGCAAACCGTCTCCTCGAAACACTCCAGATTTTCTTTGAACGTCGAGATCCTCGAAGCACAACAAAGGAGTACCTTCCATTCATCTTTGTCCCGAGTCTGCAATCAAGGTCGCGAGCTTGAGTGTTGAAATTCATGCGCGACATATGAATTCGATTGTGTAGAATTTCTACCTCATTCCCGTCCTTGGAAGTCACACTTGGTGAAGGGCCACACATCGCTTCCTCTGTTGAGTGGTACCAAAGTACACGCAAACGTTAGGACGCGCGCGCCCCACCTGATCCACATCGCGACTCCAGGCGTAGAAAGAGGATAGGATACTACTTCGAAATCTCTCCGTCTTTGCGATGGCAGTCCTGTCTTGTCAGAGTTGTCTACTAAAGCGTGGACATCCACTTCCCTCGAGGTAAAACCCGAGAGCCCATGTTAAGCGGCAGAAAAGGTAATCGATGGATTTGTGAACGACCGCAATGGCTGTGCAAAACAGCCTGTTGCACGAAGGCCATTCGTATTTATTGCATCCCGGATGCACTGACCAAAGTCTGACCGGTCGATCCGACGATCGCAACACATGCGTACGCGCGCGTCCTAACAACCAATACCGCTTTGCCCCGCGTGAGGCAACATACCTCGGAGCAACACCCATAAGAGCAACTGATGTCATACTCACCCTTAGACACGACTTAATGGTGCCGGCGTATACTGCGGCCCTGCCAGCGGTTACAGCCGCCACAGACAGCAGCTCGAAACTCTGTACAGAATAAATTCCATATCCTAGTGTTTTCCTTCTCCTGTTGGTTGTGATTCGGATCGCTGGTTGTGTTGGCTAGCGTACCATCACCTCCTTACGACCGATTTAGATGCACTAACGGCTGCCGGGGTGAGATTGGCTTTTAAATATCACTTAGTAGATCCACGCTCAAGACCCAAGTTGATCACAAATTACCCCGGAGACTGTCATCACGTCAGCAGAGAGTGGTTGCGCTGGTGGGGTTGCCGTTCAGACGGGTCAGTTAGTAGTCAGGTCGAGTGTTGGCCTAGTTAGCTCTCACTGAACGCACCGCATCCATCCTATCTGGTCTGGTAAGTCGGGTGGAGACCGACGGCATTCAATTGCACTGTCAGTGACCGAAGCGACAAGGGGGGAACCGAACGGTACAGCCCTGCCAGCACAAACACCAGCTAACAACATAGAGACTGGCTGTAACTGTTGGGCGGCAAGGCAAAACTGATCACGCCTTTGACCGCTGACAGACGACCTTTCAGAACCAAAGTGACTTAGTGACATGGACTCACTCGCCCTTACAGTACGGCTGCAAATGTCTGCCCAAGATCTTGTACTAATTCCTCCATATAGGCCAGAAAAGTGCCGTTATGGCGAGTTTAACAACGGCAGTATGGATGACCCGACGACGGGGCAGCCAACTAGCTGTCAAGGAGCCTCCACAGAAAATGCGCATGCTAAATTTGACCCCTAAACTGTTTTTATTTGACGCGAACGGAATGAGTGCAAGGGTCAAAATAAGCTACATGATACTGGGTGGAGTTATTCTCCACTTGTGCATCCACAGAACCATCAGAATGTTTTTCTGGCATTTTCTAAACGCAGTTCAAGGGGAGGATATTAAAGATCAAAGACATCGTGAATTCACAATGAAGTAGGCCGCCCTTGAATGGTTGCCCTAGGTAGGAGGGGGGAGGGGGGGAGGGGAGAAACAAGACAGGGGAGGGGCTATTGATAGGGCTCACTTCCACTGTTTCAAAAAGGATAAAAAAAGTTGAAAGAAATGAAGGTATATACAGTGAAGCCGTCGTGGGGGAAAACAGGCTACGCGGCCCTTTGCTAGCGGATTTTGACGTGCAGGTTGGACTCAGCTAGTCGGCCAATCTTCAGATGCAGGGGCCTCACCTCGTCCATGGTGAGGGTGCGGTGGTGGTCTCTGTACACGACACGATAACACAGACTGGTGCGGGAGCGCTTCTTGTCAAAAAATGTGTCAATCAGTTTAACCTGGGCACGGCGACGGGGAAAAGACAAGGGGAGAAGATTAAATAGGAGATGAATGACGACCATCAGTCTACGTCTGTGTACGGCAACGAAAGCAGAAATGCTAATAAAAGAGAATTTAACAGTTCTCAGGGCAGATTTCAAACAATTCACTTTGGACTAACTCTGAAGAACTCGGCGCCCCGGTGGGAGTCGAACTCACGACAGCAAGGGGAGGCTTTAATGCAGCCAGCACTCTAGCCACCTGGGAATTTCTAACACACGGTGCGCGTATTATTGGCCATCAGCGGTCGCACTTGACCTGTCTGACCACAATATAATCTCTGATTAGGCCATTTCACACCCGACAATCCGCGGCGAGGTAGGGATGAGGCCATCAGTGAGCACTGTTTCTAATACTGGACATTTAAGACCTTGGGGGAGGGGGGTGTAGAATCATGCTAGGGACCTGGTGCACAGTATTCAGTCCTAATTTTGGTTAATCGCCTACGCGTTGTTGCTATATTCTATGCCATTTACTGTCCAGAACGGTCGTAATTAGTTGGCTTGATTGCGACTGTGAGGCGTACCCAAATAATCAAAGTCGGTGTCCTGCCTGAACTTGGAGTGCTTTCCAAAGCGTCGCCCACAGAGACTCGGGTAGCAACTGCATCCAAAACGCCACAACAATTGGGTCAGGTCTCGGTTAGGAGAGGAACTTCGACAGCACCATGGCGTGGGGTTCCATTGCGCATACAATTCTGTGTCTCAGATAGCAGTGTCCAGGAACAGGGCGTGTGTTGACGGAGTTAGGTCATGTACGCGGTGTGTGTAGCCAGTACTTTGCGTGTATGTGGGCCAAGCGATAGATGCGCTGGACCCATACAGGGGCTAGATCAAGAGCCGGCACGAGTTATTGAGCTGTGTGACCATAACAAATGTCATACATGGAGGTGTAGTGGGACGCCTAGGTGTCGGTTCCTACCGCTCTAGACACTTTCGTCCGGTCCCTCCTCCGGTCGAGCACAGGTGGGAGAGTAGAGAACGCGGTAACTGCGGAGCAAGTCACCGTCTCTGCGTCGACGGTAAACATCGTCTGAAACGACGGCCAAACTGCCGCGTTTACGTGGGACGACTGGCTAGCGGACTGAGAGCCGGGCCCGATGGCTCCTTCTCGAGGCGGCCTTGATGGCGCAATAGCTTGAGATCCGAGCCGATCATCGCAAAGCAGAGCAGGCACCTCTCACGTAGACGGGAAGCACGTCCGTTGACGCACCCTGGTGGATGAAGAGGTGACACAGTCGCGTGCGACACACGTAGGTGGACCCTTCTAACGGCGCACAATACCACCACCGGATGCTTAACAGGCCTAAGAGTCAACTGGCGCATGAGAGAGTGAGATCGACAATGGAGAATCCGTCCCCACGGCACACCAACGCGTTCTCCACAACGATAAATCAGACGCACTTAAATCTATCACGACAAGTTAAAAATCCTGGCTTTCAAGACCGCAAAGCGACGGGATAGCTCGACCCTCACGGTCAATACTGTGTGTACGAGAGGTGACTGGCTGGCGGACTTGGTCCGGCTCAATGGCTTCTTCGCAATTTACCCGTTATGGCGCTCTCGTGTACGCGAGGTCCGGAAGACCCTCTGTGAGAGTCGAGCGTATTATGTGGCGGGCCAGGCTGTGTGTAGCCCGCCGTTTAACGATGTCACTTACTGCGACCGACCCCGCCCACGGCCATCCTGCCACCGGCTTCAGTCAGGTGGGGGAGGCGAACGTGTGGTAGATGTTAGGAGTCTGCTTCACTGACGTGACTGATTGGCGTGCACGTCAGCGGAGCTGCGTCCACTCTGTGTGGAACACGGTGAGCGTCGACGCTCACGACGGTCGAGCTGGTAAGTCGTGTCTGAGAGAGAGGGAGAGAGAGAGAGAGAGAGAGAGAGAGAGGGAGAGAGAGGGGGGGAGAGGTAGAGGGAGAGATAAAGAGGGAGAGAGAGGTGTTGGCTGCCACAACAAGTTTGTGGGGGGTAAGTTTAAGTGTCTTCTGTCCAAGTGGTTTCTGTTGCGATGGTCGACGGATGACAGGTGACCGTCTGAATAGCCGCGTGTGCGCATATTGCGATCGGCCAGACTGCGTCCGGAATAGCTCGCTGGGATGGCGAATGGTCTTAAGGGAGTCGGGCCTTGAACAAAGACTCCAGGCATCGTAAGGATGGCTGTCGGTCACAATGTCTTTCCATTAAGACGGGTCCGATAAGTCGCGCCTGTAGAACGCTCCCACCTACCGCCTTGGCTTTTTAGCAACCACCACTCAACAAAAGCATGTGGCTACCCAAGAGACTCGAATTCCGGTGATTGTGGTGATCTTACGATGATCCAGAGGGTTTTTAGCAGGCTGAAAAAGACGCGGTAAGAAGCAATGATCCGAATGACGAACACATCAGCGTGAAGACATTTGGGGCGCAAAGGCAGCTCAGTTGCTTCGAGGAAGCAGTTGGTACCAAACGGAAGGGATTGCTTAGTCCCGTTCAAGATGTCGAGGGTTCCCTGTACCTCAGTGGGTTCTGAAAGTATACTTTTTACAATGGTGCTAGAGGTGATGTTCATTGTGACGGTAGGGTTTTGTTGTTGCTGATTCTGCAGATTTAGCTGTCTACACTAACAGTAATTTTGATGATGACGATCATCATGACGGCGACGATGGTCGCGACAACAACGATGATGGCGTCGGATGTATTTAGTGTTGTTGTTGTTCCTTTCGTTGCTGACACTAGAAACTAGGACGCTCGTGGTGTGATAATGTGGCGGCAGAGGCCGGCGATAGTGGTGTTAATGATGATGGTGGTTTTGGTGGCGACAGCGGCGGCGGTGGTTGCTATTATGGATGCGGAGTATGATGGCGATGGCAGTGGCGGTAGCGGTCTTCAATGATGATAATGATGATGGATGGATAGATGGAGGAAGGAGGAGGGGGGAGGAGGAGGAGGAGGAGGAGGAGGAGGAGGAGGAGGAGGAGGAGGAAGACGGTGGCGGTGAAAGTTTCAATGAATATCTGATGTCGCCTATTAGTCAGGTTTGTGGGGAAGCAACACGCGGCAAAATTTGGCATAACTATACCTGCTCTACGAGATCGCCCGCGACATCGCGGATCAGTTCGAAGAGATCACGTTCAAAAGCCAGCATTTTATCCGGTGCGGCCTCCGTCTTGCCAATGTCAGAGGTCTCGGCGACAGTGTCGGGATGCAGGTTCGATGGCAGCCAGAAGGAAATATCGAGCGGACAGGGTGGGAAGCTGCTAACCGCCTACAGCAAAATGAGGAACAAACTTAATTAAACGGTAAATCCTGAAGACATGGGCCCCGTGAAAATTGCAGACTCAAAATTAACTGCGAAAAATTAAAGAGATAAGGTCTGCCAGAAAAAAAGTCGAAAAAGGTCATTTTCGCAAATTCTGTGAGTTGAATTTATCCCGCTGGTATCGTGTTAGACCGCGAACTCGGTTCTTTTCCAGAAAACTCACCTTGTAGGTTATCGGTTTGTGGATGTCGTTTGTCTTGAACTGGCTCAGAAAACCCGGGTCCTCTGACCAGAAAAGCCGAATGTCAGGAATGCCATAGAGTTTCATTGCCCAACGCTCCAGCCCCAGACCGAAGGCGTAGGCGACCTTGTTGGTCACACCGCCTGGAGCAGAGAGGAAGGAGAAGATTTTCGAAGAGAAAAGAAGATGGAGGGGCAAGAAGAAGCATAGCTAGGAGTGAAAAAATAAAGAAACAGAGGAAGACCACACTATGTACCATTTAATGTACATCAACCTACATTTTTCAAGGATTTCCTGGCGTAGAATGCCACAGCCGAGCATCTCCGTCCAGCCATCATCGGAGTCGCCACTCCTGACACCAGTTTGAATCTCCAACTCCCAGGAGGGATGTGTGAAGGGAAAGTAGGCCGAAACCCAGCGCATAGGGGTGTCTGAAACACACAGCAAAAGTCGAAAGCCGAACCCTATCTTCACGTAAATCGAGGATCAGTAACCGCAAAGATGTTAATTTTTGTTCTGAGGACAGGCGTCACGGAGTGGCCGACAGTTTGTCAAACACGACTGGACGAAAATCGGGCACAGATGTCGCTCATCCTTGCCCTCAAGGATGGCCGAGACAACTTACCCTGGCATAATTGTTTCCACTATCGCCCTGCTATTTGAAGATTGTATAAGTACGGTACTGTACATTTTGGACCACTTTGAGTCACGATGCAGCTTCTCTTAAGAACAATGATCCCAATAACCGCTTATGTACTTTTCGACAGCAAGGGCAAAAGTCCTGTTCTCACCAATGCTTACAAATTATTGACATTTATAAGGGATATAATCCCTTAGGATCTGAGGGAAAAGGCGAAACTCCTTTTTCACTTTGGAAATGGGGCTGGGTAGTCTAAACAAAGGGAATTCAAGCTTTCGTTTGCAGGTCTGACAAATTAATCTTCTGAGCCATCTACTGGTGCATGGGGAAATCTGAGGGGGGTTTTGACAGTTTTTAAAGAGGTTAGCTCTCCTTTCAAAGGCTCGTTGCATCTAATCATTCTAAGATGGCCTCATCCTCAGTCTTCTGAAGGTTGCAGATTCATACCGAGAAACTCCTTTTGCACCATTTACAAAAAGAGATGCATGTGGACGTATGTCAAAGACCGGTTCGCAAATAACTTGAGATCCCATACTTGCTCATCAGTGTCTTTCAGGAAATTAGTAAAGGTACGCTCCGTAGACGAAGCCTTTGCATGCCTACTGAATATGTGTAAGTAGCATTTTGCGGATAAATTTAATAAAACAGTAGATAGTCGAAAGCGGGCGGGTCAACAATAGTACTCATGCTAATAGAAACAAGAAATGCTGCTGTTTGTCGCAAACATGGTGCCGTTTACCTCACTACTTTAAAAGGGTTTTTTGAATTTTGGTCTTGCTCCTCAGAAAGTAGAAATTGCAAAACAGAAGTGTCTACCAGAAAAGCACACAGGAGACGCTGGATGATTAACCGAACCCCTCGAAGCTGCGCCACGCAGCGGCAGAATGTCGGCAAACACGCGCGTCCGGGTTTTAAGCTAGTTTCTGCGCTGTCAGTACGATATATCATGCAAAATGTGTGTACCGGTACTTGAAAATCTAAATAGTTCACAGCCACTGGATAATCGTTCAGTTTTTTCGGTATCTGTAGAGGAGCACGTTTCTGTACAATGATACGAATTCGATTTCATTAAATAAATTTTTATGTTATTTCATTCTGTTAAACACACTTTGATTGTGTGTCCTTCAGTGTTCAGTAGGATACAGACCTCAGTGTGGCCGGTTTTAGCCACGTAAACAACCTCTTGGTACGAATCTTCTTTCATTTTGACCTTTTCTCCCATTTGTCCAAACCTCGCCTTTAGTTTCTCAATTCGCCATTTTCAGCTCTTCCTTCGGTTCCTGGTGCCGTATGAAAAAATACCACCCCTGTGTGAATTCCATAGGGCTATCCTTCTTCCTAGAAGAGATATCGTCAGGGCTTCGTCTAGATGAATGGTTTTTAATGGATCCTGAAGATGATCTCAGACCAAGCAATAGCTCCGTCCTGCTTAAGTGGAAGGTTGAGGCTACAGTGAAAGTGGTCCCTCCTGCAAACCAGTATAAATATATGTAGGAAGATCTAGATCGATGAGTGTTGTAAGACACCCTCCATACTTATACTTGGTATAGTTGATCCTGTCTGCTCTTATCAGCCCCAATGATGGAACGACTGCACCCCCATACACGCAGACGATCTGGACAGTTTAAATATATTTAACCATCAACAATGACTATCTGTTTAAAATTCATGAATGATTTTTTTATATTGCTGATTAATTTGTGATATTTCCGGAAAATTTGCGGACTTGCAATTACTTATGCTGTAACGTCAGTTGGAAGTTTCGCCTGATTTAGGAGCTGTGGAATGAAAATCTTTGACGGACAGGGTGGCTTCAGACTAAAAATTCATGGGATTATTGCGTTGCTACCTAGTGCTGCGGGTGGAAATAGCCAATCCCCTTACCAAGGCTTTGTATGTACGCTCCAATCGAGCTAGCCTTTAGATTAGGTCGTGACAACTACACTTCACAGAGTTGACCGCGTACACTTCCGACACTATTAAGTCGCCTAAGGCGGCCTTGAATCAACTCGCAGACAATCTGAAAGTACTTCCACCCCTTTTTGTAATGCATTTTAGAGGTTTCTGTCAGAAACAGATGCCCTCAGGGGTACCTGAAACAATAAAGGTGTTTTGAGCCTGTGGAAAAAGTAGCAGGGGTGTACGTTCTGGTACTAGTACTTTTCATTAATACTGTCTGTGCCACAGGAAGAGGAACTGGCTGTAAAGCAAACCATACTAGGGATAGCATTACCTGAAAAGACAAGGGAGACTCGAATGACCATTTCTGGCTTATGAGCCAGAGGCTCGTTGTCCTGTCGGTTGCGATCGGGTACACACAATGGTAGAAGGGTGCTCACCTATCGAACTACAGAACTCACTTGCACCGCCGTGTCTTGGGGTTCTCTCTCGAACCCAACAAGCAGCTGCCCAACGGCGCGTGATATAGGCAGAACAGCATTACCAACTGGTTGGCAACAGTTAATAAGCCAGGAATGGCCATTCCCGTCCCCCCCCCCGTCTTTGTCGGCAATATTATCCTGCCTACATTATGCGCCGCTGTGCGACTGCTGGTTGGGCTCGGGAGAGAGAGAGCCCCAGGACACAGTGGGACGAGTGAGTTCCGTAATGCAATCGGTGAGTGCCCTTCTCCCCCATCCTGCTTTTCAGCCTTTAGCATGCGTCTGTGAGTCGGGCAGAGGTCCTGGGATAAAGTGACGGAGAAGGGGTGTGAAAATTGGGTGGTTACCTTTCCCAAAAAGCTGTACTGCAAGTTCCTCGAGGACGGACTTCAGCTGGAATTCAAGAGAGAGGACCGTCTCCATTGAATGCCAAGGCTGACGATCCGGTGGCAGTGCGGAGGAGGGCGGAATTTCCGAGCCCACACAACGCTTAGCGGTAGTGCCAGCTTCGAAGAGAGTGAGACAGGCGGAGGGGTCGATCGCGTCTCGGAAGAGCTGATTAGAAACATGAATAGGGTTGAAGGCACTAACAGTTTGCCACTGTTGTCTAAAAGACAGCCGGTCGGCAGTAAATACGCCTCAGTAAATAAAGAGGCAGGCAAATGTCCCCAGAAAGAGCTTGTAGCTGCAACAAGTCACATATCACTTTCAAACCATTCCGCAAGTGCGTGGAAATAGTTAAAGTATCGACGACGACGACGACGACGACGGCGACGACGACGACGACGACGACGACGACGACGACGACGACAACGACGACAACAACAACAACAACAACAACAACAAAAACAAATATGCTGACTTCCGAAGGACGGTGGGAAAAATCGGAGGAACGAAGGATACAAAATAAGGAAAAAGGAAAAATAAAAATCGGTGGCCAAGTACTGGGGGAATAAAGAGCCAGGACATCGGCAAAAATAAAAAGACGACAGCAAAGAGCGGCATGCCGTGGACGAACTTACTTCATCCCGCGAAAACAGTCGGACACCCTCCAGTTGGTGGAAGGCGGGATAATGCAGAGCATCTATGTCATCGCGCCGATATACGTCCCCAGTGACCAGAAAGGCATCCAGCCCGGAAGAAATGAGATCTGACTCGTGAGCTGAGGTGTGGCTCCGCAAAACCGTATTGGCGTTCACGTAGTAGGTGTCTGTGGGTCTCCGGCTGACGTGATCGGGCGGAACCAGGAGACTGTCGAAATTCTGCTCAGTATTGACGACGGGACTGAGAGAATCGTGGACAGAAAACATGGGACTACTGCTCCATTTTTTGACGTGTGACGGACGCTACAGTGGAGAGAACAGATACAAATAAAACATTTTCAGACGTTCCTGTGAAGTGTCACCAGTTGGGTGCGCGACAGAAGAGGGGCCTATTTAAATTTTTGCGTAATGGGCTAGCCCGTACTCAAACAGTTTACAAAGGCTAGCTTAGAGCGACTCCCTGGAATTCAAGGCTCTTTGTGAGTGTAGGGTGTGGACGGAGGCGTTGTAGAGAACACAACTGTTTGTCCTAAAACCTGAAATTACGGTCACTTCGTTCACCCTGAACAACATAGTCACAAGGACATCATGAGCAGACACGAATGAGAATGGAATTGCAATGGTAGAAGGAGAACCTTGATTCTAAAGCCATTACGATGAAAAACTATTGTCAGAAAAATGTGCAAAGCGTACTACGCTGGCCCATAGATAGAGATAAGGGAGCTTAAAATTGGGGAATGTTAAGTAAGAGGAGGTAGAATCTCACCAACCTTATAAAAGAAGTCCACGATGCGACTTTTAATGAGCCACAGGGGGTGATATTGCTGATTGTGAAGACGCCGACTGAGCAACTGGATGATTTTCGGTGACAGATTGTACCAATCGTCAGTCGGATAGGACTGAGCACAAAGGGAAATCCACTCAGGACGAGACACCTTGGCCACAGGAGCAGTTTTTGCTTTGCTCCTCTCGAGACCACCAGAACTGCCGAAAAACTAGTGATTTAAAATTTACAAATTTAGAAATGAAAAATGACTTAAGAGAAGGTGAAAAAAGTAAACTGCCTCACCTTCACTTGTCTCCAGAGGAACGAACTCGAGATAGTTGGTCTCATCACAGCCTTCATTTTATTAAGTCAGGTTCACGGAGGCAGGAGACCAAAACTGAAAGAACGATAGCCAAAAAATGATGGTTTCAGGCGTATGCCGATTGTATTCACCTTAGGACAAGGGGTTACCTGAGAAAGCAGAAAGGACTGATAGTACATTATCTGACCTGGGGACTGTCGGCTGTTATGACTCTGCTTTCCAAGTCCGCAACAGCCGCAGGTATTTTTCGTTCTAGGTTGTTTACCCGTGGCGACTTGACGGCAAGTAAAGCTACCTGGTGGCGGCTAGAGATCGTCGTATCGTAGTGACATCATCCGGCCTAGCGGTACTTTATGTGACAGTCAGCTGCTACACATCTGAGCTCCACGCCCTGGTAGCATTATCGTCGTTGGTGCGCGAGTACTTATTCGTCGCACTCAAGTGCATACTTATTTCGCCTCTGGCCTTCTCTGAGGGCTTTTCCACTGCTCGTCATCTGTGTACGCACCAGGACCCTTCTTCCTCCACGAGTATAAATTGGAGACAGAGGAAGTGCACATGAATCAGAGACATAGGAATCCTTGTACTAATTAAGACACCCTGGAGGCTATATGGGCATCTTCTAAAGTCAGCACTTGTCAATACCCGCTGTTGCAGGTTTACAGAACCTAGTTGAAAGGCCTGTCCTGTCTTCACCAGAAAAGCAGAACTGCCATTTTGCCACCCACATAAACCGCCAGAGCACATTGGTTGTTGTCGTAATTTACTAATAGTATGTGGATGGTCGATTGTGGGCTGGCCTTCAGATGCAAATTTAAAACCGATAACAGAAACCAGCTCTGTTTTTGATGTAGTTAATGAAGGGGTGGAGAAAGGAGTGACAGGGTGCATTTTCACGGAACGTATGACCGGAATCAAATCAACGACAGACCGTCGTTGAGAAGGAACGCGGACGCAAGTTCGGCGCTGGTACGCTTCGATCAGTGCAACACGTGCAGGTTGACGAACTGCTGACTCAGACGTTCAGCCCCCAGAGACAAGGCGAAAGCAGCCGAAATTGTATTGAGGCCTTCAGGACAAACGACCACGAGCAGCTGGCGGCAGTGGCTATATTTGGGGACTGTCCGAGGACTACACAGGTGGTTAATACAAATTTAACCAACTTCTGAAGGTCTCGCCTGTACCCAAAGCACGATAGATGCTTTAAGGGAGACGGATCACATTACTCCCAGGACATGCACCTTTTGAGGAGGAGAGTTCAGCAACATCGACGTTTAAGGCGATTATGTAAGGTGGCTGCCAACAGTAGGTGTTCCGATCACATCGCCAGGGGATCAAAGACATAAGTAAACGCATATGGCAAGCAAAGTGGTGAGAAGTAACGGAAGAAAACATAATCTCCTGGACGTAGGATGGATTTGAAAGATGCGCGGAAAAAGTGAAAAGAGGAAAACCAATCAAGCACGTTAAATCTTAAGTTATGCGTGACAAGGCCAAGAAAGCGTGGACCATCTTAAGAAATAAAAATGCATGCGAACAGGAAACCACTGAAAGCAGCATATGTACAAAGCGACGACGCAGTGTTTTGTTGCTCGGTGAACAAAGGCCTCAATACCATGATTATAATTTAAATTAGGTCATGAACCCATTCGCAGGGGGGAGGGGAAGACGTACGTGTCAAATGGAGACTGGGGACCTCTCAACTAACGGACCCTTGGAAAACTTAGCTAGCTCTGTGTGCAAGTTTTTTTTCGGTGGACGAGCCATTGTAAAAATATCGTCTACCTTGCTTGCATGCTCATGCGAGGCTTGTACAGCTTTCTGGGCTCCTTGTGTAAGCGGCGAGCGAGACTGTACTGGAGAAACACACACGTACTTCAGTCTATTCTGATTAATAATTTCCGTGCTTTTAAGTCAACACTATGAACGTCTCTTCATGTCTTTGATCCCTCCGCGATGTGACCGGAACCCCTACTGTTGACAGCTACCTTG